TTCTGGCTGGTACTCTTTCTTTTTTTTTTAAAGATTTTATTTATTTATTTGAGAGAGAGAATGAGATAGAGAGAGCATGAGAGGGGGGAGGGTCAGAGGGAGAAGCAGACTCCCTGCCGAGCAGGGAGCCCGATGCGGGACTCGATCCCGGGACTCCAGGATCATGACCTGAGCCGAAGGCAGTCGCTCAACCAACTGAGCCACCCAGGCGCCCCTGGTTGGTACTATTTCTTTCTTTTTTCTTTTTCTTTCTGAGTAATCTCTACACCCAGCGTGGGGCCCGAACTTACAACCCTGAGATCAAGAGTCGCATGCTCTACTGACTGAGCCCACTATTTCTATTTTAATCTATAATAAGAAGCACATAAAGGATTAGTTTAAATCAGCGGCACCTGGGTGGTGCAGTCGGTGAAGCATCTGACTCTGGGTTTCGGCTCAGGTCATGAGCTCAGGGTCATGGGATGGAGCCCCACGGCACACTCAGCGCAGAGTCTGCTTAAGTCTCTCTCTCTCCCTCTCCCTCTGCCCCACCCCATCCCCACTCTCTCGTGCTCTCTCTCAAATAAATAAATAAATCTTAAAAAAAAAAAGAATTAGTTTAAATCGAACACGAATTCCGTTTCCTCCTAACAGGCACATCAATGGTATATTAAGTACTTGTCAAAATTGTACTGGCATTTCATTCCATTGGCAACCCTCTTGTTCTCTGACTCAGGGTCAGAGCAGCATGGGTGGTATGCCTGAGCAAACAACTGTGACCAGTTACAAGGATTTTTGTTCTCTCTTCTGTAGAAAAAACTTCAAATGTTTCTAATATGTGTTAACATTAACTGGATTACTCAAAACTTGCCCATACTCACCCGGGCCACACAAAGTGCTATTTAAAAATAATTTTTGAATTTTGAAGGACTATCCAGAAATGTCATTGTAAAACAACCCAGCCACAGGGGCGCCTGGGTGGCTCAGTTGGTGAAGCATCTGACTCTTGCTTTCGGCTCAGGTCATGATCACAGGATCCTGAGATGGAGCCCCATGTTGGGCTCCCTGGTCAGCAGGCGTCGGCTTTTCCTCTCTCACTCCCTCTGCCCCTCCCCCTGCCCATGCACGAGCTCTCTCTCTCAAATAAATAAATCTTTTTTTTTTAAGATTTTATTTATTTATTTGACAGACAGAGCACAAGCAGGGGCGGAGGGAGAGGGAGAAGAAGGCTTCCCTGCTGAGCAAGGAGCCCGATGCAGGACTCGATCCCAGGACCCCGGTATAACAACCTGGGCTGAAGGCAGATACTTAACCGACTGAGCCACCCAGGTGCCCAATAAAAAAAAAACAACTTTTTTTTTTTTTTTTAAAGTTAAAAACAAAATGAAACAACCCAGTGACATTACCTCAGAATTGATATTCATACTGGGCTTCCTTGACTACCAAACAAGTTGAAAAATGCTTGTGTTTTTCATTGTTAAATCCTTTTATTGCAGAAAAATTCAAACATATATAAAAAGAGAGAATAGTATAATAAGCAGGATGTGCCCATCACCCAGCTTCAGTAATTACCAAGTTATGGGCCAACCTTGTTTCGTATATACCTCCCTCCTCTCTCACTCCTGAATTATTTTGAAGCAAATCTAAGATATTATTTTATTCACAACTATTTCCGTGTGTATCTATAAAAGATCAAGCCTTTAAAAAAAATATAACTACAATACTGTTACCACACCTAAAAAATAACAGTAACTCCTTAAAATCATCAATGAGTTAGCATTTAAAGTTCCCCCATTGTCTCATACCCGTCTTTGTACCATTTGTTTAGTTTAATAGCAATCTGAATGAGGTTTATGCAATTGGTTAACATACTGAATCTCTATATTTATGTCTCTATAATCTTTTGTAATCTTTAGGTTCCCCTTCCATTTCTTCTTCTTCTTTTTTCTTCCTTGCAATTTTTAACTAATCTCTAGACCCAGCATGGGGCTTGAACTCACAACTCTGAGATCAAGAGTCGCTTGCTCAACCGACTGAGCCACCCAGGCGCCCTTAGCTTGAATCTTTCTATAAAGAAATGTCTTTTCTTCAGCTATTTGGTCACTGAGGTATAGCAGCAACAGTGGAGATCTGGTTTTATCAAGGAAGGAACAGGATGACAAAGGTTTGTTCCTTGGTGACTAGTTAGAATGAGGACCATTTAGGTGTTGGAAAGAACTAACAGAACTTTCTGCATGACACACCTGATGGATGATATTCACATGTAGGTACACATTTTTAAATTCCTCGTGCCTGATTGCAGGTTTACCTTTTTTTTTCCACCCACTGGACTATTTATTTCCTTATACCAAGTTCCTTGATGTGGGTAACACTGAATGAGGTTTTCTTTCTTTCTTTCTTTCTTTCTTTCTTTCTTTCTTTCTTTCTTTCTTTCTTTCTTTCTTTCTTTCTTCTTTCTTTTTCTTTCTTTCTTTCTTTCTTTTTCTTTCTTTCTTTCTTTCTTTCTTTCTTTTGCTTTCTTTCTCTTTCTTTCTTTCTTTCTTTCTTTCTTTCTTTCTTTCTTTCTTTCTTTCTTTCTTTCAGATTTTATTTATTTGTCAGAGAGAGAGAGAGCATGTGCAGAAGCAGGGGGAGTAGCAGGCAGAGGGAGAAGCAGGCTCCCCTCTGAGCAAGGAGCCCGATGCAGGACTCGATCCCAGGACCCTGGGATCATGACCTGAGTCCAAGGCAGACACTTAACGACTGAGCCACCCAAGTGCCCCGATAAATATCATTTTGTTACATAGCCTTTCCTCCATGAATAAACCACAATTTGTTCCTGGCTTATTCTTTTTTTCTTCTAATTACAGTTCAGTGAACATTCTTATACATTTAAATTTGTGTCCAGTTATTTTCTAAGAATAAATTGTTAGAGTTGGAATTTATGGGCCTGGCAGGTATCTACATATGAAGTATATGTACGTTTTCTCACACTGCCTTATCACACAGTAGTGGGTGAGACTGCCCATTCATCAACATGTTGATCAACAGTAGATATTATTAAGCTTTTGAGCCTTTGACATTTAATAAGTAAAAAAGAAGATATCATTTCTTCCTTTTACTTTAAATATTAAAAGCAATCTTTATTGTTTTTTGCTGATTTTGAAAGTATTACATGCCTGTTTTAATAAGTTTAAATAAAAGAGAAATTAAAGAGAGTAAAAATCAGGGGCACCTGGGTGGCTCAGTCAGTTAAGTGTCTGCCTTTGGGTTCAGGTCATGATCCAGGGCTCCTGGGATCCATCCCCACACTGGGTTCCCTGCTCAGCAGGGAGACTGTTTCTCCCTCTCTCTCCGCCCCTCCCCCTGCTTGTGTGTGCTCTCTCTCTGTCAGATAAATTAAGAAAATCTTTAAAAAAAAGAGTGAAATTCACCCTATAATTCTCACACAAGATATAATCACTGTTGTTTGATATATACCCTTAGGTATAGAAGGTTAAATTTTATAAATGGATTAATTATATTTTCCTTACTAATCTGTACCTACTTTCACTAAACAACACATTTTAGGCCTTTTTCTCTATGAGCCCATGCAGCTATATTCCACTCTTTTAGTCAATTGCATAGATGATATTGATAAAATATTATTTAGGTATTTCCACTTTTCACCATAATTGTTAACCATATGAATATAAATTTTTGCCTACTTGTCCATTTATTTCCTTATGCCAAGTTCTGTGAGATGGAGTTGTTGGATCAAAGGATCTGTAGATTTGTAATAAATCGGTGATGGTACTGAGCACTATAAATTTTTTAGTGCTTAACAATAATATAGTTATGAGAAATATTCTTTTGTGACTTGCCTCTTCAATATTCTTTGCTCGCTTTTCTATTAGATCGTTTACTTCCTTTTGCTTACTTGGATAAGTTCATTATATGTTTAAAAATATCAATTCTTTGTTTAAATGTACAAAGTTTTTAATTTTTATGCAATTAAATATTTTATGTGTTCTGGGTTCTTTATCATATACTAAATTCTCAGATAGCCATAGATCATGTTCTGGACTCCTGTTAGGATCTGTTCATCTTTCTTAAGCCAGTAAATACCATGGTATTTTGGTTTTTTTTAATTAAATTTTATTTTATTTAAATTCAATTAATTAACATATAGTGCATTATTAGTTTCAGAGGTAGAGTTCAGTGATTCATCAGTTGCATAGAACACCCAGTGTTCATTACATCACGTGCCCTCCTTAATGTCCATCACCCAGTTACCCCATCCCCCCACCCACTTCCCCTCCAGCAACCCTCAGTTTGTTTCCTATAAATACCATGGTATTTTGATTGCTCTAGCTTTGTAGTTTGTTCTGACATCTGGTAAGGCAAGCCCTTGCATTAAATTTGAGATAAATTCACTCCTTTAAAACTTTGAATCTTCCCACTCAAGAACATTTATTCAAGTCTTTTATGTCTTTTAAAAAAGGTTTATGGTTTTCTTCTCATGGACTTTCGACATTTTAAAAGTTTATTCTTGGGTATTTTATATGTGTTGTTTCCATGTGAATAGAACCATTTTCCCAAATATATTTTATGACTTTTATATATTTATATATATTGTATAATTATATATATAATATATATATTTTACTGTGGGTCTACAGAGAACCTATTGACTTTTATGTTGATCTTATAACCTCTAGAATAATAAACTCCATAAGAACTCACTATGTGTCTATCCCCACCACAGCTCTGCCTAGCTTACTGCCGAAATATAAGAGTGTCTGGGCCATTTTCTTTTGTTTGTTTTCAGTTAGTTGTGTTCTCTAGATAGTTTATCTTACCATCTTTCAAATAAAAATTCTCTCTTTTTGGGGGAGCGCCTGGCTGGCTGAGTCGATGGAGCATGCTACTCTTCTCGGGGTCGTGAGTTCAAGCCCCACTTTGGACGTAGAGCTTACTTAAAAATAAATAAATAAATGAATAAATAAATAAATATTAGAATTTCTCTCTTCTTTTTTTTTTTTTTTTAAAGATTTTATTTATTTATTTGAGAGAGAGAATGAGAGAGAGCAAGCACATGAGAGGGGGGAGGGTCAGAGGGAGAAGCAGACTCCCTGCCGAGCAGGGAGCCCGATGCGGGACTCGATCCAGGGACCCCAGGATCATGACCTGAGCCGAAGGCAGTCGCTTAACCAACTGAGCCACCCAGGCGCCCTAGAATTTCTCTCTTCTTAGTGTCTAAACCTTTTCTTTCTTTTTCTTGCTTCTGTGCAATGGCTAGAACCTCCAGAACATTGTTGAATAATAGGGGCGAGAGCAGGCATTCCGGGGGTTTCCACCAGTTCGGCCATCTGGAGTTCTCCCTGGAGGAAGAGGTCCCAGGACCCAGCAGGCCCCATAAGACTAGGTCACGGCTCAGGAATCTGAACCCTTCGCCGCAGCACAGCTTGGGGGAGCCCAGTTGTCCAGCTTTGGGCCGTCCTAAATCCGGGCCAGCTACCAGGTTTGGTGCGGGACACCGATCCGAAGGGGGACCTCGGGTGGGGCCCCGGGTCCCTTTCCGGAGAGGCCCGGAGGCGCGGCGGGGCTCCTGCACTGCGGGCAGCACCCCCCGTCCGCACCAGCTTTTGCTCCCAACGCTTCAGGGCGCATCAGCCCCCTCGGAGGCTGGGCCGGCCGGCCGGGCGGGATCGCTGGCGCCCGGCCGCCGCCTCGGGGAGCTGAGCTCAGCGCCGGGCTGGAATTCCGGGTGTGGCCGCCCTCTGGCGCCGGGTGGCCCCGGGCTTCCCAGCGCCTTGGAGGCAGGCGCCCCAAACGGACCGGTGCCTCGCGGGCTGCGGCAGACGCGCGCCGGGGCTGGAGGAGCGGCAGGTGAGGACGCCGGGGCGGGGCGGACCCGGCAGTGAGGCTGCGGGCGCGGGCAGCCCCCTCCCGCAGGGGACCTTCTCCCGTCCTCCAGCATCTCCGCCGGCTTTCACTGGGAGCAAGGCAGCAGCATTCGAGGCTGGCGTGGCGCCGGGCTGGCCCCTGACTTGCGCTCAGCAGCATCCTCACTCGTACTCAGAGACCTGTCCTCACGGTCCGTCCCTGGGATGCGGTCACCAGCCTGGGAGGGAGGAAGGACGAGCGGGCCTTTAGCACCGGAGTCTGGATTCATACCCCCACTACCCCACCGAGATTGCCGAAGTGACCCACCTTGTCGTTGCTGATGAAGCGACAGCCTTCAGTCTTCCTCCTACCTGCCTCTCAGCAACCACTGATTCCCATTCCTCCTTCTGACACATTCCTTGGGCTTCCATGACAACCCCTACCCCTAGGTTTCTTTCTAGCTCTTAGCTCTCTCTCTCCTAGGCTCCTCAGGGGGACTCTCTCCTGCACACAATGTTTAAGTGTTGTGCTTCTTTGGATCCCAGATTTCTCTCCTCCCTCTCCGCCTCCTTGAGATATAATCCATATGCCATAAGATTCACCCTTTTAAAGTATACGGTTCAGTGGCTTTTAATGTATTCACCAAGTTGCGCAGCTCTCCCCACCGGCTAATTCCAGAACGGTTTCATCACCCCAAAAAGAAACCCTGCGCACATTAGTCACTTCCCATTTCCCCTTTCCCCAGCACCTTGGCAACCACTAATCTACTTTCTGTCTCCATGGATTTGCCAGTTCTCGACATTTCCTGTACGTGGAATCATACAGTATGTGGTCTTTCATAACTGGCGTCTTTCACTTAGCATAATGTTTTTACGGTTCTTTCATATTGTAGCTTGTAACAATACTTCACTCCTTTTCATGGCTCAGTAATATTCCATTGTGTGGATGTACCACAGTTTATCTGCTCATCAGTTGATGGGTATTTGGGCTGTTTCCATTTTGGGGAGTTAATTATCATAATGCTATGAGTATTCTTGTACGAGACTTTGTATGCACATGTTTTTAGTTCTCTCGGGGTGTACACCTAGGAGTGCAACTGCTGGGTCCTATAGTAACTCTATGTTTAACTGTTTGAGGAACCACCAAACTGTTTTCCAAAGCAGTTGTACCATTTGACATTCCCACCAGCAATACATGAGGGCTCAGTTTCTCTGCATCCTCACCAACACCTAATATTGATTATGGTCCCCTAGTGGGTATGAAGTGGTATCTAATTGTGGTTTTGATTTGTATTTCCTTGATGGCTAATGATGTTGAGCATCTCTTCATGTACTTATTGGTCATTTGACATCACCTTTGGAAGAATGTTTAGTCAAACATTTGCCCAGTTTTAGTTGGATTACTTGACTTTATCGTTCAATTTTAAGAGTTCTTTTTAGGGGGGCACCTGGGTGGCTCAGTCGTTAAGCGTCTGCCTTCAGCTCAGGTCATGATCCCAGGGTTCTGTGATCGAGCCCCACATCGGGCTCCCTGCTCTGCGGGAAGCCTGCTTCTCCCTCTCCCACTCCCCCTGCTTGTGTTCCCTCTCTCGCTGTGTCTCTCTGTCAAATAAATAAATGAAATCTTAAAAAAAAAAAAAAGGAAAAGAAAAGATTTCTTTTTAGGGGGCGCCTGGATGGTGCACTCTTGGTTTTGACTCTGGTTGTGATCTCAGGGTCATGAGATTGAGTTGTGAGATGGAGCCCTGGGTCGACTCCACCCTCAGCATGGAGTCTGCTTAGGTTTCTCTCTCCCTCTCTCTGTGCCCCTCTCCCCACCTCCTGCAAGTGTGTGTGCTCTCTCTCTCTCAAATAAATAAATACATCTTCACTGAACAGGGAGCTGGATGGGGAACTTGATCCCAGGACCCTGGGATCATAACCTGAGCCGAAGGCAGATGCTTAACTGACTGAGCCACCCAGGTGCCCCTAAATAATCTTTTTTTTTTTTAAAGAGTTCTTTTTAAAAAAATTATTTTAATTGTGGTTAAGAAAAACACATAACATAAAATTTATCATCTTAACCATTTCTAAGTGCATTTGTACAGTTCGATATTGTTAAGCATATTCATATTGTTGTGCAAACCGTCTCCAGAACTTTTTCATCTTGCAAAACTGAAATACCCACGAAATACCTCTCCACCTTCTCCTCCCTCCAGCCCCTGGCATCCACCATTCCACTTTCTGTTTCTTTGAATTTGATACTCTAGATACTTCATATAAGTGGAATGATACAGTATTTATCCTTTGGGACTGGCTTATTTCACTTAGTATAATATTTTCAAGGTGGAGTTCTTTATATATTCTGGATATTAGTCTCTTATCAGATATATGATTTGCAAATATTTTCTCCCATTCTGTGGGTTGTCTTCACTTTCTTGATGAATCATTAGCACAAAAGTTTCCAATTTTGATAAGGCTCAGTTTATCTTTTCTTTTGTTTCCTGTGCTTTCAGTATCATATCTTTTTTTTTTTTTTAGATTTTATTTATTTGACAGGGAGAGAGACAATGAGAGAGGGAACACAAGCAGGGGGAGTGGGAGAGGGAGAAGCAAACTTCCCACTGAGCAGGGAGCCTGATGTGGGGCTCAATCCCAGGACCCTGGGATCATGACCTGAGCCGAAGGCAGACGCTTAACGACTGAGTCACCCAGGCGCCCCTCGGTATCATATCTTAAGAGACGATTGCCTAATCAAAGGTCACAAAGATTTACAACTGTTTTCTTCTAAAAGTTTTGTGGTGTTAGCTCTGACATTTTTGAGCTTATTTTTATATATGGTGTGAGATAGGGGTCCAACTTAAATCTTTTGCTTGTGAATATCGAGTCCCAGCACCATTTGTTGAAAAGACTAATCTTTCTCCCATTGAATTGGTTTTGGCGCTCTTGTTGATAGCTTCTCTTCTTTATGTATCCACTTTCCTAGCTCCTGTACTCATTCGTGGGCCAGTAACTCAGAAATTTATCCCTTTGGCCTGGACCTTTCTTCTGAGCTCCTTACTTCTATATAGCTTGACATCTCCACTTAAATGTTTCTCACACAACTTCAAGACTGAACTCTTGATTGTTTCCTTCAAATATGCTCTTTTTCCAATATATTTTTCCCTGTTTCATCTCAGTAAAACAGAGCAGTATCCTACTTGCTTAAGCCAGAAATCTAGAGTCATATTTGACATTTTTGCCCTTAGACCCCACGTCCAATGGATCATCAAGTCAGGTTGATTTTATTTGGAAATATATATCCTGAATCCATCCCTGGCCTTCCAACACCACTGCCACCAAGTGTGAGACATCATCTCTCCATTGGAATACAGTCTCCTACCTCATCTGTCTCCATGGAAAAATTTTAAACATATACAAAAAAGGAGAGAGTTGTAGAGTGGATACCCATGTATCCATCACCCAGCTATAATAATCATCAACAGAAGATTGTCCGTATTTCATCAATACTTACCTCTACTCCCCCTTTCCCCACCTCCTTTGGATTACTTTCAAGCAAATCCATGTATCAGAGCGATCTCTTTAAGATACAAAGTTGATAGGGGTGCCTGGGTGGCTCAGTCGTTAGGTGTCTGCCTTCGGCTCGGGGTCATGATCCCAGGGTCCTGGGATCGAGCCCCGCATCGGGCTCCCTGCTCGGCGGGAAGCCTGCTTCTCCCTCTCCCACTCCCCCTGCTTGTGTTCCCTCTCTCGCTGTCTGTCTCTGTCAAATAAATAAATAAAATCTTTAAAAGAAAAAAAAGATACAAAGTTGATAGTGTATTTCCCTGTTTAAATCCCCTTATTGATTCCCCACTGCTTTTAAGAAAATGAAAGAAACCCTTACTGGGGTGCACAGGGCCCTGCATGATCTAGCCCTGCCAACCCCTCCAGCCTCGTTGCTCCCCACTTCACTACTTCTACCCTCTAGACACAAAGGCTCTGTTTATGTTCCTCATACATGCTACACACCTCTGGCCTCAGGGCCTTTGCACATCCATCATAAACCCTCTACAATGACCCCTCTCTAACTCCCTCCAAATACCCTCCCCCATTTGATTAGCACCCATTGGCTATCAGCTCAAAATGCCACTACTTAGGGAAAGCTTCTCTGCTTTCCACGGCTGAGTCAGGACTCCCTGATAGAGGTCCAACTAGGATGCTGGGCTCTTCTTTCGTAGCATAGATGACATAGTTATAATTATGTATTGATTTATATAAATATTTGTTTCATGTCTGCCTCTCCCACCAGGCATTTTGGGGATAGTAGCTTGCCTTATCCCTCTTAGTACACACAGCACTTACACGGAGCTGAGCGAACTGCGGACGTTCAGCTGGTGTTTGTAGGAGGGAGGCAGGGAGGCTGGCAGCCCTTTGAGGACTGTGACCCTGCTAGCCTCTCCTGGGGTAGGGGGTTCTTCTGACCACAGGAGGGTCAGTGGCCATTTGCAGTTCACCCAGTTCCTAGCTCTGCTTTGTTTCTTCCTCAGACAACACTTGCTTTCCTTCCTGGGCTGAGGCTTTCTTGCCCCTTCGCTGAGAGTAACTGAGGCCCAGAGAGAGGGAGTGGCTTCTCCAAGCCCCCTTAGCAGTGACAGGTACTTCCACGCCTGCCTCTCTGTCTTCTGGCCCCCACCCCCAGCCTCTTTCAGGACCCTAGACTCCTTCCAACCAGCCCCGTGCCCTGAGAAGAGCCTGGAGGGCCCACAAAGTCAGAGTGATTCTGAGGTGGGTGTTAGGGGATGGTTGGAATTGGGGTGCGTTGGATGGTATCCGTGGATGGACAGAGCGGGCTTGTCCCGAGAGTAGCCACGCCTCCTGGTAGCCTTGGGCGGGGGTGGGGGGCGGCCTGTGGGCCCTCCCTCAGCAGGCTGGGCAGAGAGTAGCCCCCAGGAGCACAGGAGTGCTCTGTTTCTTAATGAATGCAAGTCTGTTTTTCGACCTGAATGACCAGCTTCTTGTCTGGAAATGGCCAGGCCCGAAGTG